GTAGTTTGGAATTAATGGAGCACAGAAAGGAAAAAATGTAGAAATTGAATTCAGGTTGTAAAAGAATGAGAAAACGTCCATATTGGACACATTTATAGGGCTCAATTGGTTAATAGGGAGCACATAACAACTAACTGATCGAGGAAGAGATGGTGTAGTACCAAGCTAGGAAAAGTATGCTCTCAACCACAATTGAGCGAGCCAAAGAGGCCTACTACCAGTGAGAGATGCACCATTCTTCAATTGAAACTGGGGGGGAAGCCATGCGCTAATTCATGTGCTATGGGCAGATAACTCATGGAAGGTTTCATGCTAGGCATACAAAGCACGTATTTACAAAGCCAAACCTGAAGAAAGGTCACACGCTCAGCATGGGAAGGTTCAGCGCTAGAATTATTATACATTTCTTGCATGCCTGAATAAGAATCAGTAAATTTCTTGTCAATTTTTGGGGTAGCAGCAGTAACCAGAATGCCAGGAAAAATGGTGTAACCCAAGGGCGAAAGGTTTATTAAGGCTCAAACGTCCCTCGGGGTAATAGACATTGGGTCAAGGGGGAAGATAAAAGTATTGTACTCAGAAGACCAAAAACTTAAAGCAATGGGAAAAAGCACCGAGTCATAAATTGGGGAACGGAGAGTGATTTCTAATAAATCCGAAATCCTAGCATGATAAAAAATCGCCTTGGTAGGACCATGATTTACTATACGTGCATGTCACATGCGAAAAGTAGTGTCAGTTTTAGGCCAGGTACAAATACCTTTTTCACAATCGCCTTCAGCGGTAGAGAGTTCAGAAAAGGAAGGTCTTGAGTGCAAATAAAGAGCTGACCCACCGCTAAGGCTGTAAATGGATCGGATCTGCCTATATCCGATTCGATCTGATAAGAAAATTATCTGATTCGATCCGATCTGATAATCCAACGGATATTTGATTGTTAAATCTATATCCCATTTACTATGTTATCAGATATCCGATCCGATAATCCGATCCGAAATTAATAAAAATCAGGAAAAGAAAAGTCAATGTTCTTTAAAAAAATTGAACTAACTTAAGGCCCACTTGTTTTTACTAGCAAACCCAATAGTGACTTCTACCATCATGATATTCATTTTTAAAGGAGAGATACTCTTCTAATTTTCTATTGACATTCGATATGGAATAAGGTAAAATTGAATTTCAATTCTAAATATAAATATTTTATTTCATTATTTCTATAAACAAATCAAATTATTTGTTACATATTAATTATTAGTTTTTGAAATTGTAAAATTAATTACAATAATAAATTTAATTAAGAAAAATATAGATATT